GCCGTTTTGATGTCTGCAAGATGCCGCAATCTAATCCAGTGTCTTCAACAACGCTCTCCTCACTCGGTGCGTGAGATTTTAATAATATGTAATGACACCCTTGAAAAATCAATCTGCAATCTGCCATTGGCGCGAGAACGCTTGCATATTCACTTCAGCTGACATCATTAAAAAGCCATCCATCCACATCAGATGCACTGACTTTGTTTAATTAGTTTCTACAAAGATATCGAGCAAACCTCTGACCAGAATAATGCTGATTATTGTAAAAAACCGAAGTGCGTAGAAAAGTTTTTCCATGCATGGAGCCTCCTGGGAAAGAGGAAAGGTTATCGAGAGAGAGTGTGCGCTGTAATGGCTATTTTGGAAAAATGGCACGAAAACGTTACACTAATGGAACAGCACGGTTCCATCACCTGCAATTCCGTCTTTATCCAACTTCCTAATTCTGTTAACGGCTAATGGATGAATCACAAAGGTGTTTACTGATGTACAGTAGACTATACATTCTCTGCAATGGCTGAGGATATGAATTGTGGAAGATGTCAATGATGGCCATATCCTTCGCTGGGCTGCATCTCATGTGTCTCATTGAGCCTACCCCCCCCCCCCCCGCCACCGCCACAGTGCATCCTGGGAACCATTAAGGAAACCCGAGAACACCGCAAGCACACAAGAAACACACAAACACAATCAAGAGGAGGACGGCTGACCAACACCCACGGGCCGAACCCTGAAGAGGCGATGGTGCAGATTTATCGACCGCTTCAATTTCAGACAAAAAGCATCACTTTCTGTTCACAAAGTTGAGAAGAGCTGGGAAACTTTCATGTATAAATTGATTCTGGCATTGATTCCAGTATAAACAGGGGACCAAAAGCATTATTCTCTAAGGTAAACCCTTGACTAGGGCTCGATTTCAATTTTGGCTCCCACCGATTATGAAAACACTATAATCAAGGTAAAACGATAATTGTGGCGTGTTGACTGTTGTAAAATGCAGTCTTTCTGTTTGAAATTGAAATCAAACAGCGTAATTAAAAACTCATTAAGCCGCAAAAGAGACACAGTTCGCGAACGCGGATAAGCCAATGGGCTTCGGATACACGCCTAAACACACAGGCCTAGACACAAAAATATTAAAATGCCTTTTTGGAGAGTATTCACGTAAAAACAGTGGGTTATGTCTTACGTCCAGTTTGTTGGATCCGTCTTAAAGTGACAGTATGTAACATTATCACATTAATGTAAAGGTTTCTTTGAGATATTAACCCTCTGGGGTTGTTCGTTTCAGAGTCACACTCGGGGTGTTCGGGTCCAAATGGACCCAAAGGGCGGGATTCATATTTAAAAAAAAAAAAAAAATCATGATTTTTTTTTTTTACTTGTTTTTTATAATATTTTTTTCTTTTCTTTTTTGGTATTTTGAGAAAATTTAAAAAAAAAAAAAAAAAAATAGTATTAATGCAATAATTATGACAAAATTTTCCCCCATTGAACATAATAGAATTTTTTTTTTTTTTTAAAGCTGTATTTCATTTTAGAGTCAAGCCTAGGCCTCATAAAAGCAATTTTTGAAATGAAATGGATGCCATCTGGTGGACAAACTAAGCATTTTAAAAATGCAAAACATGTATAATCTGAATTTTTTGGTGTTTGTGTATAAAAGTGTGTTTGTGTGTGTGTCTGGATGTGTCTGTTTTGCACTCTTAATGTTTTATAGATTCACTGTTGTGTGCTTTTTTTCAAGTTCGTGGCTGATTTGTAGATTGTACACAAAAAAATCACTATTTTCACATTTTTGCCAATTTCCCATTCATTTTCCATGTGGGTCCGTTTGGACCCGAACACCCCAAGTGTGACTATTTTTTTTTTTTACAACCATTTAGACTATTCACATCCTGTCCCCAATTTTTTTGGGTGTTCAAATACCAAATACCAACAAAGTCACCAAATAAACTATGTAATTTAAGGTAAATCCATGACCTTGACATGACTAGAGTTGAGCTACAGAAACATATACAACCATTAACATTTGAAGCAGTGTATTTTAGGCGCTTCACATACCAGTTTTACTTGCCCACCTTGGCCAGGCGCCTTGGCATAGCAGACCAAATTAGTGGTCAGGGCATGCCGGTTAGGTGGTCAGCGGTTTGGGGATCCTGTGGTCAGCGTGCAACGGGAGCCGGAGCGACTACAGATCGCTGACCACAGCTTGTCATTGATCCCACACTCAATCGGATTATTGCGGGCCCGAAACAGCCGTGCCTGCAAAATCCGCCGGGCCTGCCAGAAGAAGGAGGGGTGGTGTCAGTCTCCGACGAATGGATGGAGGGAGGAGGGTGGAGATGGATGTGAAAACGAGCGAGCGGAGTGACAGCCCAGGGACCGATTGATCTTCTCATCATTTCCCATCCCTCTCTCCTCCTCTCCGGCTCCTCTCGCTCCCTCCACCCCAACCTCGCCTGGAGACGGATTCTGTCGAGCTCCACTGTATTGGATTTATGAGTTAATGGAGATGTCAAGACATAACAGATCGTGAAATAAGGAAGAGGATAGGAGGTGGCGGAGAGTTCTGTTTACACTCCCTCTCTCTTTAACGTGACGGGCGTTTGGAAGGAGTCAGTCTTAGTTACAGAGCATTACAGAGAACTTTAGGAGCAGTGCAGAAATGACCATGTCTGTGCCTCTTTATGAAGGGTTTGGCCTTCATAACACATGCTTTGATGCTTCTACTAGGTGTAGGAATTGTAAAATAACAGTAGTCCTTTCCATGCCAAAGATGCCATTGTTGACAAAGAAACTTTAGGAACTTGTGTACTTCATCATTAACTTTCCAAGCCACAGGAGCCCTTGTTATCGTTAAATTACGCTCAAAAGGTTCTGATACGTCGCAAAAGATCTTCGCAGTGTTCACAGTTGGGACTTTTCTTGTATCCAATCTATGTATGGACACTTTGCCCTAGTAGTGATGATGGGATGATGGATGGATACAGACATATATGCTGCATAATATAGAGGTGAATATTGTCTAATACCAAGAAATCCCCTCAAAATACAAAATATGAAAGAATAAATATTACTGAAACTAGGGATGCACGATATATAGGCCAGCATATCAGTGTCAGCCAATATATGTTCATTTTTAATGTTATCGTTATCGGCCTGGTAAGAAAATGTGGCCGATATAATTAAAGCCGATAAATAATTTATTATTCCCTTCAGCTGAGACACTTGTTGAGCACTGATAATGTTTTTGAATTTCTTGAAATCTCTTCAAAAAATGAAAATACGGTTCGGTACAACTTGCCGCATAAATCTGTCATATCGGCTATACGACCCTATAATGAGAACATCATTATAATTGTGTGCTTGGGACGTGGACTTAATTTTGAGACTTTTGTTTTTGTAATCAGGCTCTCAAAATTAGATAAAAAATTTGGAATTAAGTTTTTCGGCCGATATATCTGCTAAAAGAATTATCGGTTATCGCATCGGACAAAATTTTCATCTCGGTGCAGTCCTAACTGAAACAAAATATAGTACACAGCACAACTGTGACCCAACTTACATACTAAATGCACTTAACCATCAAGTGTATGAGGTTTAAAAGGCTATTTTGTCATCCAGCCCAGTTCCCTTTAGCTGCGTAATAAAAGTTGCGACTTAAGTTGAGAGTATGAAGATTTATATTTATATTTTTTGGTTAATTAAGTGTAAAATCCGGGTATTTGAAGCGCACCTTTTCTACTTGAAATTTTCAGTGTGAACACACTACTCACACCATTTATACAACAAAATGGCATAGAATAAAGGCCTTTGCACATTGAGTCCGAAACGTAAGCGTTTTTTTTCGTATTTGTGATTCGGTGGCTCTGAATTGTCAAAACACCATTCAATCCGCTGGTTACGGATGCGAAAAACGCAGAAAATCGAACCCGATCCGATTTTTTTAAAGACGGACCAAAGTTGCGGAAGCAGTGTGCAAATGTGATTGACATAACATGAGGTTGCATTAATTTTTTAACATGCGAAAATTTCGGACTCGATGTGTAATGATATGCGAATAATTTTTTAAATACTAAAAGCTCAAATTCATCCTATTATTAATATTTACGATATTTCACAGGCTTATGGATCGCCAATGCTACTATAGCATGCGGTTGTTACACGTTCTGTCCACATCTAATAAACATTTTATTCGTGCTGAACATGGTTGAAGCGCTTCTGATGGTTTTCAGATAATATCTCCGCAAAAACGGCACCAAAAATTCTGAAACTTATATCATTCTTTTTAGTTCGACTAGACGGTTCAAGCTCGGTGCTCGACGAATCCGTTGAGATATTTGCGTTTTTCGCTTCATGGACGCTTTGGGAGGTGCTTTTTACATCCTTAAACAATGTTGATAATACAGCGTGGATAACGTGCACACTTGTGTTACGATTCAAAAACTTTTATTGTTCATTTCATTTTCAAATGCGTGCAAGCCAAGGCGGCGAGAAAGACAAGATTACATATAACATATATTTTTTTTAAATATAAATTTTAAAAAAATCAATATTTGAATAGTAACTTCAGCATTCGAATAATATAGATTTTTTTTAATATTCGAATTATATTCGAATTTCGGAATTCGTTCCAACAGCCCTAATCAGATTACATTTATAATCGGCCTAGTGTGTCCCCGGCATGATGGGACGCACCTAAAATTATTTTTTTTCTTTAAATGTTATGCTTATTGTCTGTTGTGACCACCCTAAAGAAGTGCCAAAAGCTAAACTTAAACCATTAGGCCATAGCTACCCAGTTCAAAGCTCTTTGGAAGCCAAGATTTATCCACATAGTTCTTGGGCTTAAGAAGACCGATCTTGACTTTGACATACAGCAACATTTAAATAGCCCCAAACTCCCAGGATATAAACTTTCTGGACCTTTCAGTGCTCCATGAAGAAGGGGCATGTGTGATGCAGAAAACTGAGCTATGATAAAACTTACTGACCTCCAGTAAGACTATCAAGATGATGATAAAGTGTGTGTTCCTCTCTGATTGTCTTGCAGGTTTTGCGTTGTATCGATTCCCTATTGGCTTGGCACTGGTCACTTCCGCCCATCTTGTCATTGGCAGAACTGCTTTCTTCTCCACATTGATTGGCTCACAGAAAGTGCTTGTGGTTGTGGTCGAGCTGCCCACAGTACTACACAATTCATCCATTCCTAAGACAATAACAGCAATGAAATGGATAACTTATAGTGGTAATGGGGTTAAAAAGATGCATTGAACAGATGTATGCTAATGCTCAACAAACCTGAACCGTGGCGCATTGGGTCATGCAGGTGCTAATCCCATTTCTTCTATTTCCACCACTTTCCTGCCTTTGCAATGGACTGTGAAATTACAGGCAAACAGGCCATAAATATCAAGTACATCACCTCTATTAATCTATGATAAACATAAAATTCTGATTATGATCAAGCCTAAGGCCAAGATAAGCAGTATCAACACTGAAAAGGTTTTATCTTTTCAAACAAAGGGTGAAAACGTGCCCCACTAGACCCAGTTTAATGACATTTATTGATATTAATGAGGGGTAATTAGGGGGTCATAAGGTTACTTTCAATTTGCAACTTGTTCCACTCAACCATCAGTCATTCCACTAGATTATTAAAACTTAAAACTCTTAAAAGTAATACAATCAGTAATCAGTGAAGGAACCGTTCACCCAAAAGTGAAAAATAAAATGTAATTTTCTCACGTCATTCAAAACCTGTATTTTTGTGTGAACCACAAAATAAAATATTAGAATGAATAAATGAGAACTATCCCTTTAAATGTGAAGCATGTACCTACGTCACGTCTAACAATACTAAACTCAATTGCTAAATAATGGCTATTTTTAGGGTCATGGAAGAAATGTATATGTTTATTCAGCAAGGATGCATTCAATTGGATTTAAAAAGCCATTTATAATGTTACAAAAGATTATATTTCTATTAAATGCTGCTATTTTCAAATAAATGCTGAACTACGTTTCAGTTGATAATCAGAAATCAGCATATTAGATTAAAACTTTTTATTTACACTTGAATGATCAAGAAACAAGATCAGAGATGGTATTTTGCTTGTTGAATCCATAAAGGTAAGATAACAATTTATGGCATATTTTTATGGCCGGGTAAACATGATCATGATCTTGAGCACCAGCCTCACCTTGAATCTGTGCTTGAGGTTTACGGCCTCTTAATGCATGTCACTTAAATCCAGCATTGACCTCTATGGCCTCTGTCCAACATTTATACGTCTCAAAAATTCCCCTCTCATCTCCCGGTCAATGGTGTTTTTTTGGTAGGAAAATTAAAAATGCAAATCTAATCTGGTCGGCCTGTAATGTGATCAGTATGACGGCCGATCAATGTGTACCGTCATGCAAACGGGAGGCAGTGATGTATGTGAGAGAGGACGAGTGAGGGGGGCTGACCGCTCTCGCTTTATCACTACACTCTCTGTGAGTGTGTGTGTGTGTGTGTGTGTGTGTGCGTGTGCGCGTGCATGTACATGTTTTTCTATCTGGGTGGGGACTTCAACCTGGATGCATGCAGACTCATGGGGACTCGTGTCACAGTGGAGAGTTAAATTGATAAACAAGCTTATAAATCATACAGAATGAGTTTTTGTTTTTTTTAAAAATGCAAAAATGCAGAAAGTTTTCTGTGATGGGTAGGTTTAGGGGTCGCGTTAGTGTGTGTGTGATGGGTAGGTTTAGGGGTTGGGTTCGTGTAAGGGGACAGAATATACAGTTTTTACAGTATAAAAAAACAATACATCTATGTAGAGTTAGAACTAAGATAGTAAAGCCTTGAAAAGTGATCTCTGATCATTGGTGGGTCAAACCAGCAAACCAGAGATTTTCTTTCTCTTGTTAGTTTGAGGCCTTCAATAATTACTTAAAGAGGTTAGTGACAATAGCCAAGTGTCTCCTGCTCACCAAGACTGCATTTATTTAATTAAAAATACAGTAAAAACACTAATATTGTGAATATTACAATACAGCAGTGTCACGTGATGCTCCAGAAATATACTGATTTGCTGCTCAAGAAACATTTCTGATTGTTATCAATGTTGAAAACAGTTGTGCTGATTCATATTTTTGTAGTGATACATTTTATATTTCAGGATACTTAGTTAAAATGAACAGCATTTATTTGAAATAGAATTTTTTTATTATTATAAATTAATTATAAATGTCTTTACTGTCACTTTTGCTCAATTTAATGCATCCCTGCTGAATAATATTAATTTTGTTTAAATCGTGAAAAAAAAAAAAAATCGTACCGACTCCAAGGCTTTTTTTAGTGTTTGTACAGGAGTATAAAATAAAATAAAAATGTATTAAACCAAAAGTTAATCAAAGCTACATTTTACCAAACGTGAAATCCCCTAAACGTTGTAAAATCCATGTAAAATCCATGTCTTTTGTTTAAACCATGTTCAATATATACTGTAAATAGTCAAGTGGTAATAATGTATATACAGTATATATATACAGTATATATATATATATATATATATATATATATATATAAAAAAAACTTTTGCTGATAATTTACTCACCCCCATGTCATCCAAGATTTCCATGTCTTTCTTTCTTCAGTCGAAAAGAAATGAAAGTTTTTGATGAAAACATTGCAGCATTTTTCTCCATATAATGGACTTCAATGGGAACCAAACGGTTCAAGGTCCAAAAGACAGTTTCAGTGCAGTTCACCTGTTCGAACCTGTTCATCAAAATGAACAAATCTTTTTCCGAGTCAATTTGTTTATTTCATTCGTTGAATTAACCAAATGATTCGAAAAAAGATTTGTTCATTTTGATAAACGAGTTCGAACAGGAGAGTCACACAGAACAGAGCAAGGCGACCATTTGAGCTTATAAAAATTAACCTTTGTTGTTGTTTTTTTAAACGAGTGATCGTTTCGCCTGATAAGGCCCTTATTCATCGTCTGGAGTCGTTTAAAGCCCTTTGAACAGTTTGCACTGAAACTGTCTTTTGGACTTTGAACCGTTTGGTTCCCATTGAAGTCCATTATATGGAGAAAAATCCAGTAGTGTTTTCATCTAAAACCTTAATTTCTTTTCAACTGAAGAAAGAAAGACATGGACATCTTGGATGACATGGGGGTGAGTAAATTATCAGCAAAAGTTTTTTTTTTAAAGTGAACTACTCCTTTAATATAAATGTGTGCGCATAACAACTATTCCACAACAGCTTTAAATGTGGTTTATCCAGTTCAATTTCACTGTTCTAGTAATAAAATGTTCATATTTCATAGAAAACTTTGTGATTAACACCTCGATATTTGCCACTCAACATGACTCACTGAACTAGTAATGAAGCTTAAAGTAATCCCGTTTCATATTAGCCCGTCAGCAGTTTCCGCCGCCATCGGCATCTGCTAAAGATCACAAATGTGATTTAGTACTAGTTTAACAGTCACGTTTTGTATACTCCGTCGCACACACATTCACACGCGAGACGACACTGACAGCGGGGAGGTTAGAGGGGTTGTGTTGACCGCCTGTCTGACCGCAGTGGTGGGTGGGAGATTTATTTAGGATAAACCAGCGAGCTCTGAAAGCCACACAGGCCACAGAAACGGCAGCCCGGTACATCTTCATTAACAAGAAACATTTCTATTGATTTCATTTTTCCAGCGTTTCAGGTTACACATAAGAAATATGTATGGTGGGGTTAAATGAGTTATCCTGACCCGATTTGTATCGAGCACACTCTTTATGATATTATCTATGGGATCGGTTAGTCAGTGGGTGTCAAAACTATTTGGCTGTAATGGGATAATGCACAGCTGCAGTCCTGATGGGCCGCAGAAGCAGGAGAGACGGCAATTCAATTGTATCCTGCGGGACAATGGGCAAACTGAAAGGAGGTGTAGGGATGAAAGCGGAGAGTCCGATAAAATGTAGTGGGAAAATCTGAAGAACTTTAGTAGTTTTATGATAGCCGGCTCTCTATTTGTATGTCTTGTTTAGTTTTTTGAGATTCATTTTATCATGACATTTCATAACATTTGCCACAATTCTCATTACATCTGGATGCGTGTGTTTGTCAATCACATTTTTCATTATGGTAACAATTTTCTCTGTATCAAATCTGCATAAATGTCATGTAAAAATATACATTAGCATTAAAAAAAATGTGGGGCCTCATTTATAACCGTTGCGTTTGCACAAAACAGGCCCTAAAGGAGGCGTACGCCACTTCCGACACATTAGTTGTGCACCTGCACGCAAACTCTGACTCATGCGCACACACATTTTCCCCTGTGTGTCCTAATCATAAATACAGTGCATGTTCACAAAAACAGTTGAAATAAATAAAAGAATGATTTAAACTCTGTTTTACATCTGATATACACATTTAGATTAAATATTTCATGAATGGAGCACTTAAAACACATGAAATCGTTGCCGAGAAGTTACAACATTTTTTTTATATTCTAATAAATAGAAATATTAGTAGTGGATGCGCTGCTTTTGAACACTTTTGCTGCACTTTATTTTAATACAGCGAGGATTAACAGCAGATGTTTACACAAATTATGATCAATAATGCAATAAAGCAATTAAAAATACTATTTGGCCAGTGGAAAAGATTGAGAAAAACATTCTCTGAAATATATTTTATACTATTTGATTTATTTATTCAAAAACAAGGAAAGGATCGGCTACTAAATGACTTTTAGCAATGTAATGTGGCGCACATCCGTATCTCATATTTACCTAATGTCTTGTATCACGTGGATGAATATGCATATGCAAATGAGGATATGCATAGTAAAACTAGGCTCCATATATATGGTTATTTTGGGGTGAAAACGCATGTGCGCACAATCTGACTGGGTTTATAAAGGTAATATTGCGCAAGTTCAGGCGGATGCATGGGTTTATAAGTCTGAATGTTTTTGCCGTACGGCATTTTTGGCTTTCAGACGCACGGACACTTTTAGTAATGATCCTGTGTACAGTTTTATAAATGAGACCTCTGGTGTAATGTCAGAAAAGCCCATTAAAGTCTCAGGAAACTCGACTCAGGTCTGGTCTGACTGGTTTTCCTCACTCGTCCTTCTGCAGGCCTTCAGAGGGCATATTGATCAGCCTTTATATCCAGAAGCTACTCAGCGATTACCGCAGTAAGAGTGCTGTAATTCATGTCATTATTTCTAGAGTGCCGCTGCTTTTCATTTATCAGTGGAATGTTTGTGGGAAGATGTTTGCAATCTTTCAGAGGTCTGCAAATGGAAAATTAATCTCGCTCTTGTAATTTAAACGACAGGGACAGACTCTGAAGGTCTCTTTGCATTACCATACCTCTTCTTCTCCGTCGTTCTCCTCATCTAGGTCATGCTACACCACCTGAAACGCAAAGCAACACAAGACTTCAGCGTTCCTTTACTGTCGCCAAACATGACATTAATTTTAACAAAGTTTTAGAGAAAGATACTCTAAAACCTCTACAAAAGCTTGGAGCAATTTGTTGTTCTCCTCGAACAAATTAGTCTTTGTGATTTATGTTTGTTTATATATCCAATGCCGTATGGATGATGATATATATGCACTGAAATCGACGGCACTTTTTCAATTACACAATCGTTCAAAAGTTTGGGGTCTGTAAGATCACAGCATCATTACTTCAGTCTTCAGTGTCACATGAAAAACATTTCTGATTATTATAAATGATGAAAGAGTTGTGCGGCTTCATATTTCTTTTCAGAATTTTTTGCTGAATAGAAAGTTGAAAAGAACAGCATATATTTCGACATACAAATATTTTGTACACGACTTTTTCAACTATATTGTTCTGTCCTTTATGATTGAGGCTTATCAGATTGATTGATATGAGTCCGGTGAGATCTTGCACACAAGCCAAGGTTTTATGTCAGATTGCGTAAACATAATAGCTAAGACTTTGATCATGATTGACAGCATTAAATTTATTTCACATTAGTCTTATCAATTGTCTTATCCTCTGACATTTAGGTTGCATATCATATAAACCATTGATATTTTAGTATCACATTAGTATATTTGGATTTTATCTGTTGTCATGTTTTTAAGTAATTTTAGGGATGCACTATATATCAGCCACTATATCGGTATCAGCCGATATATGTACATTTTTTGTTATCGTCATCGGCCCGATAGGAAAATCTGGCCGATATATTTAAGTTGATAAATAATGGATTATTTCCTTCTGCTGAGACACTTCAGATAAGCAATGTTCAACCAAAATTTAATTTGAAAATTCAAAAATCACCAATTTAGAATAGCTTGAAATATGATTGAAATCAAAGGAAAATACAGTTCAGTGCAACATGTGCACCGCAAGTTTGTCATGCAGGCCACATTAAATTATTATGAGAACATTATTATTGTGTGCTTGAGACACGGATTTAAAGGTTAGTTTTATTTTTATAATCAGGCTCTCAAAAAAGTTATTAAAAATTTGGATTTAGATTTATTGGCATTGAAATATTGAAATATAAGGAATTATCGGTATTGGACAAAATTTTGATATCGGCGCATCCCTAGTATCAGTTATCAGGCTCAAAAAAATGTTATACAAATTTGGATTTAGATTTATTGGCCAAAAAATAGGTTACTGGCATTCACATACAAGGAATTATCGGTTATCGGTATCGGACACAATTTTTATATCGGCGCATCCCTAGTATCAGTAATCAGGCTCTAAAAAATGTTATACAAATATTGATATAGATTTATTGGCCAATATATAGGTTACTGGCATTCACATACAAGGAATTATCGGTTATCGGTATCAGACAAAAATTTAAATATCGGCGCATCCCAAGAAATTTTGTTGTGTTTGTCTTTTTTTAATGTCTGTATAGTTTTTATTAAGTTTTAGTTTATTTTGTCTGTTTTTTGTGCTTTATAGTACACATTATCATCAAACCATACTGTTCTCCTATGGTTGTGTATTATACGTACATCACAGACACACTAACATGCATTTAATCAGGTATCGATCCGTTCACTATGCATCTTTAAATGATTACCAAAATTTGTGTCAGGTGGAAAAATCCTAGCTAAAACTCCAGCTTTAAAAATGCTGAGACATTTGAGACACTCCAAGGCACAAGATCAAGTGCAGACCCCAAAAGCAGTAGATGAAGCTGTACAGCAGTCCTGTGAAAGATGAGATGACGGATTCTAACTCTGATGGATGGATACAGCAGTCATTGTACGCATCCATCTCTTCTGGCAGCGTGTCAAAGCCCACACACCGCTCTCTGTCCGTCCAAAACAATAAACCTTCACATCCAGCTTCATTGGGCCCGAGCTAAAATCAAAGCGGCCCTGACATGTCTTCTAAATCCAATCATAGGTCAATAGCTGGAATGATTGATTGGCTTCAAATCCAATTGCATCTTCCCAGGCCTGTGCATTGGGCCCTATTAGAGATTGGCATTGGCAGGGCCCGTCTTGGGAGTCCCGGCATCGTGGGAAGTGTCTGTCTGCCAGCTCTCTTTAATTGCCTTATTATAACAGCCAAGAGTTCTGGATTGGCCGGTGCTTATTAGCCTGATTGAGGTTGGTAACAGAGCGAAATCGAGCTGAAGTCTCGTGCTGCTGTGCAATATTAAGCTAGTAATATGAAACAAACTAAATGCTAAATGGTACCGTCCATGATTAATCACAAGAGAGTTGCAGTGACGTAAGGTATAAAACAAGCAAGCTTGCAAAACCAAGGCAGTTTGTTCTGGTCCATTTTTTTATCTTTACAAATATAACAGATTATCAATCGGACTTTTGAACTTTTCTGCAAGAGGAGATTACAGCGAAAACCAAGGCAGAGGTTGTGCACAAACACTTGGTCTAATGACATCATGTACACTAAGGAACACATCTGCTAATAATTGCCAATGCGTGTTGGATGTTGTAAAGATGTGGCATGCAAATTGATAAGACCTGCATATCACACCAAAAATTTGCATATTGTTTTTAAAAGACAACAGTGAGACTTTTGATGCAAAGACGTGCGAAGCTGCTTTGTTTACATTGCACGGGAATAAGAAATACATTTTCTTGATAGCAACATGTGCTAATTAAGTCTAAATGCATTGTGGCATTCAAAATTACTTAGGATCTCACCAGGATGAAGTTGGGGTGTTAATGGTTAACATGGGCTGGTCCCATCTATGGATTCCTCTGCTAGTATTAGTGGCTGTAAAGATAAGCAGCGTTCAGAGTTTGGAGTCCAGAGGCTGTGGCTAACATTGAAGATGAGGATCATACCAGCAGGTGCTCAGTTACTTGTGTCGAAGCCCTAAAGAAGAGCAGAAGTTGAGAACGGTCTCTGCCGTATGTCTGAGGGTGAGTATGGGCCTCAAAAAAGGCTTTAATATGAGGGAATCTAAGAAAATAGCATTGTATACATAGATACTTAAACTATAAAGCATGCATTTATTATCATTTAAGTGGTAAATCATCTTACATTCAACTTTTTTTAGAATTTAAACTTTTAAATAAAAATGAAAACAGAAAAAATATATATATCAGTATCTTAGCACTTAACTAAATATGGGTTATTCGTGAGGAAATCTAAGAAAATAGCATTGTGTGCATAAATACTTAAACTATAACATGCATTTATTATAATTTAAGTGGTAAATCATCTTAAAGTAAACTTTTTTTAGAATTTAAACTTTTAAATAAAAATGAAAACAGAAAAAATATATATATCAGTATCTTAGCACTTAACTAAATATGGGTTATTCGTGAGGAAATCTAAGAAAATAGCATTGTGTGCATAAATACTTAAACTATAACATGCATTTATTATAATTTAAGTGGTAAATCATCTTAAATGTAACTTTTTTAGAATTTAAACTTTAAAATGAAAATAAAAATAAAATTAGCACTTCACTCTGCCTGAGAATGCTGTGAATGTGTTGATTTTAATGGGATTTGTGTTGCAAGGACGTCGAAGGAAACACAATCAGTTATTGTAAACACTAAGAGCCTATATTTGATGTTAGATCAGATCAGTTCTCACCTCGTCTGGGTCCTGGTCAAATTTGGCAGACGCAACAGTTGTCCAGACGGGAGAGCGCATCACACCAGAGGGAGTGTGTGTGGAACGGCTGACAGCACATTAGTGCAGCTCTCAAAGCGTTAGACGGGGCACATGAGCCAAATCCAATAGAGTCTGAGCTGCGAGCAGACAGCCTAAAAGGTTTGTAGCAGCGCTGTGAAATGAACAGATCAACAGAAGCACTGTAATTACCGAGCAATTAACGAGCCAGGTCTCAGCAACATGATACAGTACACAAACAGTGAAAGGCGTATCAGAGTAGATACAGGTGTAAAGACAGAAGAGGACAACATTTCAAGAGTGTGTCAATGCTATAGCGAAAGAAAATGCAGAGTAAATGAGACTCTTCAACATCTCAATGCTTTGCTTTTGAGATTAAATGGAGAGCAAAAGCTGCCAGTTAAGTTTTAACTTTGTCTGGGAGAGTAAAAATAGCTGTCATATACAGTAAGAGTATTGAGCTATAAAATAAATGTGGATATCAGCTCTCACCAAATGCTCTTGGAAAGAAAATATATAAGAGCATCACAATTGTATTGAAACTCTACAGGCAAACAATATTTCATGCAACAACAAAAAAAAAAAAATAGATACAAATAGATGCAAAAGCACATTACTATTGAAATAATTAGATGAAAAGCGAAGTGAAAAAAGAACTACAATTATTCAAACTAAAATAATGCAATATTTAAAATGACAAATTACTAAAACTTAAATTAAAACGAAAACATGAAAATAAAAATAAACATGATAGTATATAATAATAACTCAGATGATCTCATTTGTGAATACACTCTCCTTTGGGCAAAATAAATAAACAGTTGGGAACGAGTTCTCAAACTAAAAGTTGAAAGTGCCAACAAAAGTAAGTAATGGGCTTCTCTGGGCTCTAGAGGTGCTATCGCTATCTTAAGCGGGAACAATCACTCCTCCGACACATTAATTATTAATCCCAGGGAGTAGTTAATTATTTATGTTAATTGCTGATTTAAGTTTCCTTCCCCAAACACAGAAACACAGGGGGATGGGAGAACAACGGGAGTTAAGGTCAAACAATCAGTCGACGAGAGGCCGACACTTTACTCAATCTGTTTAACCCCGCTTTGTTAGATGCAATCGACTGTGTCACAAGGGACCGTCGCATACCGACACACACGCTTTAATGATGCACAACCCCCGTTTATACAAATGAAATTAGTAAATTCTGCTTTTCTTGTGCTGTTTTCAGGATAGCGGCGAGCGAGGAGAACATCTGACCTCTTGCTCTCAGTAACAAGGATTCATCCTGTTGTGGAACACAAATCCAACAGGGAATCTCTGTTACTGGGGGTTAAGGTTCAGCGTTTCACTTGGTGGAGGTCAGAAGATGCCGGAGACACCTTGAAATCAAGGCAAATGACATTGAAAAATGCTTGACTTCCTATGAATTGACCTGTGCAATGAGAGGCCAATGTTAAAATTGCCCTTTTGCATAAAATTAACACATTTATCTCATTAGAGAATATGAGAACATACAAAGCTCTTGTCTATATTGTATATATTAAGTCAATTTTGAAATGTTGGTCTATTTTGCTCACATAATTGGTCTTCTTTTAGACTGGTGGAAAGAAAACACCCTAAGTGTGTATTTGATGACACTTTATCTATTTGCGTCTGTAGACTTCAATTACAATCTTCACTTCAGCAGCTTTACACACACACACCAAACTTTCCAGTTTTATTCATATTTATATTCTGAAGGTTTTCACAGAGGAGTTTGTTGATATATCATTCACCTGACATTAAACATTTTATTCCTAAAAGAGTGTGGATTTTTTGTTTCTGGCCGTTATTTATTTTGAAAATCTCTGCTGTATGTCAACAAAATACAATTAATTTTGAACTTGGCTTTATGCAATGTTGAGATTTCTGCTCAGAAGTTTTATTCAAATTGTATTTAATTAGATAATGCCTAGTTTTCATATTAAACAAAAAAAATCAAAATAGTTATCTATGATTTATCACCTGGGGAAAGTACGGTGATCTATTAGCGACATTTGTACCCTATCCACCTGTGATGTCTTGCCGTAAAAGAAAATAAAAACAGTTTAAGTGTTTAAAAAGGGAAAAACACTGAGAAAAAAATGGATTTGGAAGACATTCACAGTCTGTTTACCAGGTTCCACTGCATTGCCCTTTCAAACATCCCATTTGCCCCTTCCTTAGTTTCACCCCAATAGTTCCTGGACAGGATCGGCCCAAGAGAGTCTGAGAGAGGGGGGACCGTTGTTGTTTACCTGTCATGGCCTGCCTGGCCTCCGCTCTTCAATGCGTCTCCCCTGGGCTCTTCCCATCTCCTCTGCTGTTCCCAAGACAACAATCCCATTTCGTTTGGTTCTTCTCAAACTAGCAGGGGTCTCGGGAGGCTCTCAATTAACAACGCTTCACACGAGATTCTGCGGGAAGCAACAGAAGTGGGATATCAAACAGACTGCAAACATTAAAATACTTCTCTCCCCAAAGTGTGATACTGGGAAAGAAATGTTCAGTTTAATTTGATAAATTATATAAGCTCCTAAATGTTCTTTTTAAAGGTGCAGTGTTTTAATTGACTCTTTCCAAACAGGTCCCCCTTCTGCTAATTGGTCAGACAAACATGTAGCCCCGCCCCCAACTCAAGGGGTAAATGATTAGCATGAGTCATTTAGTCCTTGCTGGTAGATGTAACATCATTAACATCAAAAACCCAAATGTTTCATAGTATCATTAATTGTTTTGGTTTTGTGCATACTAATTAAATAAAGCTAATCTCATCAAAAATTACATTTACCTCATGATGAAATATTTATTTATTTTTATATTCTATTCAAATCTACAGTTTATGGTTTATTCCAGTGACATCATATCTCAATCAGGTTCTAGAGTGCATAATGTTTCTGGAAATGGACTTATGGGTAGTCTCTGATGTCTTCAAATCAAGCCATAAATCACAGTGGCAACATTGTTTTCTTTATTAAACCGATTTCAAAGTGCATTCTAGTAAGAAAATGAAAGCATGACCTAGAAGCAAACAACAGTCTTGTTGTAAGAGAAAATGATTGAGTGAAACTCTACAAGTAAAACTTGTTTTTACTGCATGAAAGAATCTGAAGCTTGCAGAGAGAGTTTTATTTTGATTAACGGATTAAAATAATTGAGCATTTAATTGCTCTCAAATTATTATGTAGCCTACTTTCCAAGTGGTTGAGCCTATACATTTATTTAATATACATTTCATGGCAAAAAATATCTGAAAGTAAGATCATACGTTCTGGCTATGTATTATTGTGGCCACAGGTATACATATGTAACATATCTACATATCCAACTTGATCAGTCCTTTTCCTTCTGAGATTTAACTAAATGTGTTTTTGTTGATTTGTACAAATTATACAATATCGTAGTTAGAGTGTTGTTTAGACCTGTTGTTAAAAATCCAAATAGGCTTTATGCCGAACAAACAGGTCTCACTGTATCGGCTTGTCTGAGAAAAAAAAAAAAAAAAATAAGGATGCAATTCTGGAAGAAAAAGAAAAATGTGTAACTTTGCATAATTTAAAATGCATAGTGAATAAATATGTTGAATTTATATTAGTTATTTTGAATAATTGAACTTAAGTCTTAAGTGAAATTAACTTAAGTCAATAGCAATTTTTCCATTTTAATGTATCGCATCAGAAACAACGAATTTTGGAAAAAAATCCCTTGATTCGCAAAAACGTTTTTAAGCTCGCTTATGTGGTTATTGACTTAGAAAACGAAACGAAAAAGAGTTAATGCGAAAAATTGGAAATGGAAACGCATTTAATGTAGTACAGCCAACATGCACAACAACATTATGTTGTCACATAGCAAGAAAACCATAAAGAAGGGAATTATATCAACAACAGACCCACTGTAGACCTTCATGGCTTGAAAACAATTAAGTGTTCTCTTGACGTCAAATGGGAAATAGTAGAACTCCAAGAAAATACCAACTTTATTTAAATACTGATTATTGAATACGCAATTGCAAGAGATTACGATGGAAATAAAGAGCTAAAGAAAGTGATGAGACTGTGAACTTCATTTTGATATTTGCTAAAACCAGCTTTTGAAATGTTGATATTATCGAAATAAATGTTGATCATTTGATTGCACGGTGACACACCACAAAACATCACAGAATCCACCAAACCCATTGCTACTTACTAATATTTGTGCCTTCTGTTTTCCCTCTAAAATGATGATGTCACTTCCTGGAGGATAATGTTTTCTTCCTAGTTACAGGTTTGGCTGCACAGTTAGCCCCTGCTGGTAGATATTGTAACTACACCATCTGTCTACAAAAAGATGAGTATTCATTGAAACGAAAATTATTTCCGTCTTTACACTTTCTGAGTGCAATATTTTATTTAATATTTGAATATAGATATGATGATGATGATGATGATGATGATGACAAGAAATATATATAAATAATATCATTGCATTCTTTCACTCTTGTGCAGCAATGCTCCTGCCATTTCTTCAGCATCTCCTCACCCACAACACACACGTCAGAATCTGTCTTCATCTACTTCACTTCTGTCCCAGTCGCCACATCTGTCAAAGACGGATCTCATCCGCTCGGCCAAACCAGAGAAATGGAGGAGGAGCAAAGGAACTAAAGCTGAAAGACAGAGAGAGAAGGTAAGAAAGAGATGGCAGTAATTTCATTCTGCATCTTTCTGCTTCTCCATGTTGACTTTTATTAGAGGATCAATATTGTGGGAGTTGCAGCAGTTCCGTGAGATGGAAAAGACCTGTAATCACAGATGAAGTGTATCGGCTGTCACTGTCAAAACCCACCCCAGAGTTTGACTCGTGACCAGCCCACTGACCCCTGAACCAAAGACAGAAAAGATGTTTTTAATATCTCAGCTGTTTTTCTTGCATACAACATATGCCAAAATCTGACACTCAATGACATGTTAACACACACACAAAAAAATACTCCGGATTTTTCCATCTTTTTCTTTAAAAAATGTAAGAATTGAGTTTCTAGTAAAGAATTTCAGGTGACACGCCGGAGACGAATTTGATATATTGTACATTATGCATTTGGCAGACACTTTTATCCAAAACATCTAACATTGCATTCAAGGCACACATTTTATTATTTATTAAGTGCTTCCTCTAAGGAGGCAAGGGATGCTAACATTTTTTTTAGCAAAAAATCTATAATACACAAATAAAGCAATGCAAATATTTACAAAATGTGACATTAAAAAGTCTTTTTTTTAAAAGACTTTAAAAAAAAAAAAAAAGGTCTTTAAGGTCTGTTTTTTAAAAGGTCTTTTAAAACTTTTAAAAGGTCTGTTTCTTTTTTTAAAAAATTAACAGCCAGAAGGAAAAGCTACGTCTCTCTCATTTGTTTTTGTTTTTTTGTTTGTTTGTTTTTTGTTTTTTCGTTTTTATGTAAATCCAACGTTTATGTAACTGACAACATTATTAAGTGTAACTGGGCCATGAATTTACATTTGAACCATAAAAACAAATAAAACCTGTGAGGACTTTGCCTCCTCATTCAAAACACCATGTTAACACTATGTTAAGTTTTCCAGTCAGTGTGGGAATAATATCGTGTCTCTTTATTGAAAATAATTCATATTTTTGAGGCGCAGTCTGTTGAGGTTTGTCGCGCCGAACGGCAGTTTGACTTAACGTAACGATAATCCAGCCATGTCAACGTTAGCCGAACCTCTCGAACGTTTTTAAACACAACTATTTTAAATTATATTATTTTTAAAAAGCCTACAATAACGTGATAAATTATTAATAAATACCTATGTTTTGTCGGCAGTCGGCTGTCTATCTTCGCCTGAGTGGTAAACACTGGAGCTCTTGCGGTTGCTATGACGTGGGCTAATCTGTGGTTGGCGCCCAAAAAAAAAATGGAGGGTTTTCACCAACGTCACATTCTGGGCGGTAACCCGGATGAGCGGCCATTATGGGGGCACTCGGATGGATTGCACTGTTTCTGTACTACTGAACACATTGTTACACTAAAATAAAACACAGACAAATCCGTGGTAGGTGCGAAATCATATAGAGAAGGACTTACCAAGCAGGAGAGAGCGCAATATTTTTGACAAACTAAAGTTAATATGTTTAATAAATGTCCGAACGAGCTAGCTTCTCTAGCCCGTAGCCATGCTGGCTGATGAGCTGATGCTGTGCCTCTCAACCACAAACGGCTTCTTTCATCAGTTTTTTTTTTTTTTTTTTTTTTTTTTTTTTTTTTTGCACTCTTCTCTTTTGGCAGTTTGTAGAACTCTAAATGTATTCTCCCGATGGGACCGATTAGTATAGACCAAAACTCGACCATTTTTCAGGAGAAATAATCAGCCAGATTTGCGAGTCTGTTTATGTCATAGTAAAATAAATGGACAGAGCGATCTCATTGGAACTCCATTGAAGCCCGTTTTTGGCGATTTTTTTAGCACTTCCGTCCATGACGCGCAGACTCAAACAGAGCTTGACAAAATTGTTATTTCCAGACCTAAAACAGCCATTAAAAGTCATGGAAAATATTAAAAAATCTATTATATTTTTTTAAAAGAAAATGTGACGCTGACTGAGTAATGATGCTGAAAATTCAGCTTTGCATACATTGTAAAATATATTCACACTCAGAAAACAAAAATATTTTGACTTTTTTATTTCTATTTATTATCACCCCTTAAATATTTAATCAAGACTCTTATTCTTTGTGCAATCTTTTAAAAAAAATGTTGTTTAAAATCATCATGAATGACTGGAACACAAATGCATCGGTCAAAAGATGTGGAAATAGTAAAACACTGCCCAGTTTTGATAGGAGAGTTTAAATGATGCTCAGAGATAAAACACATCATCATTATGACATCATGCACTTTGAGCCAAGGTTCTGTCTCCCTCTCTCTCTCTCTCTCTCTCTCTCTCTCTCTCTCTCTCTCTCTCTCTCTCTCTCTCTCTCTCTCTCTCTCTCTGCAGTGTTTCATTCAAACAACCTTCCTTGATTCAATGTCCACCTGTCTCTCACTGATCATTCACTCTCTTTTATCACTTGTTTCTCTCTTGTCGTCCTTCTCGCTTTCCCTCCCTCTCTCTGTGCTATAAGTACCATGGTACTGAATGTATAATTCATACCTGCTAATGGGGAGCCGGTGCTGTAGAACCAGAGCCTCAGGTATCGGGTCTCTGCTCTGGTCACCGGACACCGTGCTGTATGCAACTTATACTTTAATTATGGCTCTGGTGGAAGCAGCACGGGCTCAGGTGTCCGGTGACTTTGGGAATGTGTCAATGGCCCGGGACGGAGGGCCGATGACAGCTGTGAGCGCTGAACATGTGTGGATAGGATTAAATATTATGCACTAAACTACTGCATCCGTTTCGGAGGAAGTCATTCAAACATTTGTGGGAGAAATGTGGGATTAAGTGACAAAAAAATCACCAAAGTAGCAAAGTGTTATTGTAATATTCTTTGACATCCAAGCTATAGGGTACCATTCCCAAATAAATGTAAAGATGCACTAGATAAAAGCACCTGTCAAATGCAGAACATGCAACAACAACATGGTAAAGAGCAATGAGTAAGTTCATAGGGTACATAATTAGGGTGTAATATGAACCTTTTAGGGTACAAAGTTATCTGGCCCAATCAGGGTTATTATAGTTAACTAAAGCTGACACCATTTAAAATAAAAAAATAATTATAAAAGAAAAAAAAAATTCATTTAAAGTAAGTTAAATAAAATCATAAAAATTGTTTAGACATATTTAAAACCAAAACTAATGACAAAAACACACAACAAATAATTTTTTAACTCAAATTAAAATGAAAACATAAAAACTTATTCAAAATAATGTTAAAACTATAATAGTTCAATGAAATAGTTATTTTGTTTTCCTCAATCATACTAAATACATTATTTATACCAACAAAACCAACTTTTGGTATAAAAAATAATAATTAGATAAAATATGAAAAAAATATAACATAAAATATTAAATATATTTTATATAATATTTTATTGTATACAAGCTGCTATTTGTCATTTTCATTAAGTTGATCTAGATTTTTTTTATAAAAAAAGAAAAAGAAAGAAAAAACAATGGCGAATGGCGAAACACACAACAAAAATACTTAAACTTTAACTGAAATAAAATTAAAACAGAAAAATAAGTATCGCAATTACACTGAAAACAATTTGTACATCTAAATTAACTGCTTTTAATCAAATCCAAATCTATTATATGGCATTCAGTATATTCATTTGGCAACAAAACACATTTTGCATAGTTAAATCAAGGCAAGTTGAGAACATTACTATTCAATGAATTTAAATAATCACAAAATAAAACCAAGGAAAATTAAAACAGGTATAAAAAGAAATTAAATGAATGACTTAAAAGAGTAAATTAATTAAAAGAGTAAAAAAAAAGATATAAACTTCTGGCAAAACATCATATTTTTAATATCAGGTCAAATCTGAAACCTCTTTCAGATGACAATTGTAAGTTACCACTTACCAAATTATCAGCTAGCTGTTATTAATACTATTAATATTCATATTATTACAAACTTGAGCCCTTAAAGATATAATTTTGGCACTTTGTTTGTTTGTCATAAGACACTGAAAAGAGCAGACTTCAAGGGAGGAAAAGGACTGATCATTTTCTCTGCTTTTTGGCCCGTAATCTTTTTTAAAGCTGATTAAATATTTAGCGAGCCGAGGGAGTTTGCTCGGCGTGCAATAGTGATTGATGGCTGGACGGGAGTGCAGAAGTTAGCACTAAAAACATGCGATCGGGTTACAGTCCTTATCAATGTCACACCCATTAGTGTCTCCTAATAGTAACCAATCAGTGGCAGCGTCGGCCTCGATTTCCTTCAGGACACTTCCACACGCTCTCTTTCCTTTCATTTCTCATCCTATCTGTTACCATTCCCCGCACATCTCTTCTCTGAGCTGTCATGCTTCAGTCCACAGACTCGTGTCTGTCACATTGTGGTCTCTGGGATATTTATACAGTGCTGTTATATTGTAGATCAAGCTGTCATTCTGAGTTATAAAGGAGTGACCAGTTCTGGATGTCTCAATCTCAGTAAGGTTTAGGCTATTACAGATACTCTCTACACTCTTAAATAAAAAGGTTCTTGACTGGCATTGGTGGTTCCATGAAGCTTCAGATTATTAAAATGTTCTTTACACTAAGAAAAAAAAATAGTCTTCTAAGAGTTGATCAAAGGTTCTTTAGGGATCCGTACACATACACTCTTAGAAGAAAAGGTTCTATTTAGA